ATAATAAAGGGGAAGAAAGCAAGAGAATGTTCTAAAGGAGCTTGAGGTCTCTCTGTGGAAATGACGTAGACTCAGGAAATGGTGTGAAAATGTGAAAGTACAAATGAACATCGATTGAGCACCTATACTCGGCCAGGCACTGTCCCAGGCATTCGGGACATTATCTCTAGCCCTGATCACAGCTCTACGAGACTGGTAATATTGTACCATTTTATAATCAAGTACAAGATCCAGAGATGTTAGTTAACTTTTCTAGGACCAAAAACCTGTGGAGAACCATAGTACCTTCCCAGGAGAAGAGTAATCTAATTGCAATGGCACTTTGAAAAGATTAATTAAGAGATGATATTCAGGGTTATCCCAAGGTAGAAGAAACCAGACATTTTATACGAATCTGTGCAGAAGATGAGACAGGACTGTTGTGGGAATAAGAGGAAGAGAAGGTTTGGAAAGACAGACGTATGATCACCAAGGGGACAGAGAAAAGATGCTGTAAGAGCCGACCCAGTTTAAGTTCAGAAGAATGTTCAGTGATGACTAATGGTAGGTACCATACTTCCTATTCAAAGCCCCACATCCTCTTTCAGATTGGGAAAACATTTAGAAGGAAATATGCAAAGTTAACCAATGCGCCGAATCCGAACTAACTGTGGTGTTGATGATGTTTGGAGTGGCAAAGCCACAGTATGAAGCAACTTTAACTGTCTGCCCCAGCCCAGCCCTAACCCTATCCCCAATCCAGAGCTTCTGCTGGAGACAGAAGTTTAGTTGGGCACGGTTGTCCATGACCCCGTCTCCAGCCTATGCCTGTCAGACAAGGAACGGATGTCTGGTCCACCGGCCAGCAGCGAGTCAACACTCCCTCGAGACTCTGAAGTACAACAGAGAGACAGTACTCAGAGCAGAGAATACACCTGGCTCTGAACAGTGCCCACATCCCTGTTCCCATGAGGCTGGATGAACTTTGGATCTTATATCCAAGAAATTATCTGTTATACTCTTCTAAGCAATGGTCCTTTACACGAGGTATCTTGAGTGGAGCTCTGTTCTTCACAACCAGAATCTCCTCTTGACTAAGAGAGGGAGGCAGGTAGATACAGTCTAGGCTGGGAGTTGCAAAACGGCGGCCTGCAGGGCGAATCACAGATGTGTTTGCTGTGGCCCACACGGTGTTGAGGCTGTTGTTTTCAATTGAATTTGGCAGCCTTCAGGCAGAGCATCCTCCTTTCAGTTTGCTGCAGCCTTTCTACTACCCCTTGTATTACCAGACTATCTATCTGCCTCTCCTCATTCATTTCACATTACCTGCTTCACCTCTGTAATTAAATGAGCTTGTAATCTGTGATCTAGACCTGATATGGGTTGTGAGTGTGTATGTGTGGCTTGTGTGTGTGTAAATGAAGGCACCAATCATAGCAGTGGTAAAATAGGAAGAATACTGGATAGCAGCAGAGTCCCCGTTTGTCTTTTCAGTCGTTTAAAAGCAAACATATTTAGTGGGCAAACACTGTTGGAGACAGAGGGAAAGTACGGTGTTGTAATCAAATAAAAGGTACAGCCAAGTGTCCCTGACACAATGCTTGGGGGCCATGAATGGATATAATGGCTGCATTCGTTGGGATGCTTTTGGATGCAAGTGGCAGACACCCAACTAAAACTAGATTTTAAAAAGAGGGAGAGGATCTACCTCATAGCATCAAAGGAAGAATTTCTGTAGAAACCAGTCTTCAGGGACAGAGGACCTTCAGGGACAGAGGACCTAGTACCACTAGACTTCTCTTTTTCTGTTTCTCATCACTTCCTGTTTCCTTCTGTCTCTTTAGTCTTGTCTTTATTTTGAAGAAAGATCTCTATCTCTGTCTCTGGGGAAAGGAAAATGATGCTGGCATCTCTAGATTTACATACTCCAAGTATAGCAACCCCTTTGAAAGGAGAGCTTCTCTCTTCCACCACTTTGAGAACATGACTGATTCTTGCAGGAGGATTTTGAATAGCCCCAGTTGGGTCAGGATCCAGAAGCCTTGAATTCTCCAACTGGCTCAGCCCAGGCTATGTACCCACACGTTTATGGCCGGGGCGGGGTGGGGTAGGGGGCAGTGGGGAGGGTGTCTGCTACCAAAAGGAGGGAGATGGAAGAAAGTTTGCTAGAAAACCAAAAACCATAGCTAGACAACCCACTACAATTTATTAAAATTCATTGTAGTTAAATGACTTTACTAAATACTATTTTGCCAGGTGAAAGCAAGCATTTCTACACTCAAATGGTGGAATTTGGTCAAGCAGTTCTGTAGGTCCCACTAAACAATCTCCTGGATCTATCAAGCAAGGAGATGTTCCCACCCCTCTGGCCCGGGTTGCTAGGGCTTGAGTATTTCCAGAAAACAAAAACTTTCTTCCCGTCCTTTCTCTATAGAATCTGCTCCCAAACCATCAACAGAAGGGAGTTATTCACACCTGTGCACGGGTTAATTTATCAGAAAACTTTTGCTGGGGTATGAAGTTTGGCAGGAGACAGGAAGGAAGGGAATGAAAGGCACTTTGGGGGTTTCTGGAGAAGGGAGGAAGGAGTCACTTGTGGGTGGCAGGTGAGAAGGTGACAAAGGCAAATTCACTGTTTTGAAATTTTCCCTGAAGAGAAGGTCAAATGTCACTGGTTCGGGGCTTCCCTGCACCTCTGCGTTGGGAAAAGCTGGAGTGGGACCCGCTAACTTCAACCATACTCATGGCGCACAGAGTAGAATCCAGGGCACTGGGAGCCAGAACTCAGAAGGTTGCGGGGAAGGTGAGCCCAGAAAGCAGAAATCCAACCGCTCTGAGAGAGCAGAACAGGGAAGAATAAATTCCAAACGAGTGCGATCGGCCAGCTGAGCAAGTTGAAGGATGCGCCAGGAGAGTAGCTCAGACAGAGGTGAGCTGGGAAGAGCTGGTCCATGTGGACTGAAAGCACAACTTAATTTTTGAAGAGAGAATGTGACCACAGACGTGGCTGGAGAGGCCACCCCCCACTCAGAGTCCTGAAAGGGGAGGAGGAGATTGAGAGTGGGTCAGCCTGTCTCCAGCCGATGGATGCAGGACTGGGGGCCATCCTGTCCTGATCGCTGGGGATCAGGTGTACAAACAGTCACACTCAGGACAATCAACGAAGATCATGTACCGCCATGTTTTCTTCTTGGCTCTGAACCTCCAGCTGCCCAAAGTTTTTCATCGTATGTTAGATGCACCATCATTTTACGTACCACAAAATAAAAACAATTATGCCAATTACACTATAATACAATGCTTTCCTATCCCTTCGGCATTTAATCACTTAGAGGATTTGTGACTTATTGAGATAGAGATTTTATTAATACGTCAAGCCTTGTGCACCCATAAAAGGAAAAATGGAAGGGAAGTAAAATGGCTAAAATGGCTTCCTAAAGCTTTCTCATGTCTGGTGTCTAATTCTCTGAATCACTTTTAGATTCAGAGCCTTTGATGTTTCTGTTTTTTCCTACACAGTCATCCTCTACTTTCAACAATGTTGGTGACGCAGCACTTCTTAAAAGAGAATAAAACTGATACACGTATTCTTTCCACTAGAAATTTGAATATGGGCTGCATATCAGATAATATTAAGATATCAATGTTAGATTTCCTGAGCATGATAATAATCTGCGGTTATCGAAAAGAATGTCCTTGTTCCTAAAAGATACGTGCTGAAGTATTTAGGAGTGAAGTGTCATGATATTTGCACATCATTTTCAAAATGATCCGGCAAACAAATAAATAAACAAACAAAACCACCCCAAAAAACAGAGAGAGGAGACACAAATGTCTCTAAATGATATCATTAAGAAAATCTAGGTGAAGGATATCTAGGTATTTGTCAAATAACTTTTTAAGCTTTTCTGTAAGTTTAAAAATCTTCAAAAGGGGGCTTCCCTGGTGGCGCAGTGGTTGAGAGTCCACCTGCCGATGCAGGGGACGTGGGTTCGTGCCCTGGTCCGGGAAGATCCCACGTGCCGCGGCGCAGCTGGGCCTGTGGGCCATGGCCGCTGAGCCTGCGCGTCCGGAGCCTGTGCTCCGCAACGGGAGAGGCCACGACAATGAGAGGCCCGCGTACAGCAAAAACAAAAAAAATCTTCAAAAAAATGTTATGAGAAAGAAAAGTGTTCTACTAAGAAATCCACTCAGGGGACTTCCCTGGTGATGCAGTGGTTAAGAATCTGCCTGCCGGGGCTTCCCTGGTGGCGCAGTGGTTGAGAGTCCGCCTGCCGATGCAGGGGACACGGGTTCGTGGCACGGTCCGGGAGGATCCCACATGCCGCAGAGTGGCTGGGCCCGTGAGCCATGGACGCTGAGCCTGCGCGTCCGGAGCCTGTGCTCCGCATCGGGGGAGGCCACAACAGTGAGAGGCCCGCGTACCGCAAAAAAAAAAAAAAAAAGAATCCGCCTGCCAGTGCAGGGGACATGGGTTCAAGCCCTGGTCGGCGAAGATCCCACATGCCGCAGAGCAGCTGAGCCCGTGCTCCACAACTACTGAGCCTGCGCTCTAGAGCCCAGGAGCCACAACTACTGAAGCCCGTGTGCCACAACTACTGAAGCCCGCATGCCTAGAGCCCGCGCTCCACAACAAGAGCCACCGCGATGAGAAGCCCACGCAGCACAACAAAGATTAATCCCCACTCGCCGCAACTGGAGAAAGTCCATGCGCAGCAATGAAACCCCAACACAGACAAAAATAAATAAAATTAAAAATAATAAAATAATTTTTAAAAATTTAAAAAATTATTTTAAAAGAGAAAGAAAGAAAGAAATCCATTCAGATTTTCTTCCAAGTTTTCTCAAGCTGTCAATACCAGTTTGGAGGGTTTTGGTTCCAGTGCTTCCTTGATTTTACCAGATGGATGTCAGTAGAAGTTTTCAGACAAGAATCATGACTCAAAATAAAATAAAATAAAATATTAAAAATTTAAAAAAAGGAAGGAGGAAAAAACAAAACAACAACAAAAGAATCATACCTCTTATTCTCCCCCTAAGTGGTCCTCACTTGTTTGCTGACTGAAGCATGAATGGCTGTAGTTTTCCAGGCACGTCACAGGAAATAACACCCAAAGACTTCTATACGCAGGCAACAGCAACTGTGTCGGAGCTGCTGTCTGGCTGGCAGTGGTTGTAGAATGAATCCCTGTGTCAGGGATGTTAAAACATGAGGGGGAAAGATGCATCTTAAAACTGAACAGCTGACACACACATCCATGACAGTTGGCAGTCATGGATCTCCTCGTGGACTAGCAAGTTGGAGAACTGGTTGACATGTCAGTCTTTGCAAGTTTGGTGAGGAGAAGTTACGCCCCTTGGCCTGAATAGTTTCTGGAATTGCATATCTGCATCTCTTGGCCCACGTGACCCCAAGGCATCACCAGTCCTTTAGACCCTGCCTGAGGAACCAGCCTGCCTCTTCTCCCAGTGACACCTCTGCCTGCTGGCTGAGGGAAGTCGCAGTCAGCACTGTCTAAGAGGGATTTTACACCATGTGCATCCCTTGTAATAGGATGGTAACAGGGAATTGGAGGTGTCATCCTACTTCTACTTATACCACTAACTTATCTGGTATCTGAGAGTAACAATGTCTGTGTTGCTTGCTACCATCCTCAATAAATATTAAGTTGCTGCTACACCTTGTGGGATTGTGGTGAACAATCAAAGGGAGACCGCCCCCCCCGAAAAAAGTATGAAGGCCTTTGTTAAGTACAACAAATTATACAGAAACACTAACCAAAGACATATGCTGCAATGGTAATGGTGGTGATTTCCGTGGAGTGAATTATGGGATTTCCTGCTTCCTTTATTTTTATTTGGAAATGACTATAGATTCAGAGGAAGTTGCAAAAAATGGTACAGACATGGCGCACGTGCCCTTCACCCAGCTCCCCCAAATGGCAAACCCCTGTTTTTTTGCTCACCTTTTTTTTCTTTCCTTCTCTTTCTTCCCCTCTCCCTTCCTTCCTTCCTTCCTTCTCTCCTTCCCTCCTTCTCTCTTTCCTTTGCAATCACTGTGTTTTACTTGGATAACAAGGAAAAGAAATGATTAAGAGCAATTTTAACAATGTAAATTGCACCCACCCGGCCAGTACCCTCCCTAACCAACATCTGCATGGAGAAGGGAGTAGCATGGTCCACCTGGGCCTCCCTCCACCCTTAGGCTGGGTGGTCTGCTACAGCGTTCTCAGGCTCTACTTGCACTTGGTCAGAGGCTCCTAAGTGTTGAGTGGAATGCTGTCTTGCACTTCAACATGTCCTGAACGTCTCTGGTTGCCTGTGCTCCTTGGTAGGAAAGAGTATGGTGACGCTGTTGCCACTGCTGCTGAATTGCTCAGTTCAGTGTGTCCAGGTCCCCACCCCCATGGTGGCCAGTGTCCTCTCGCCAGGGCAGTGGAAGGCTGCTCTCAGCCCCTCCCACTGGGATCATCCACTTCCAGCCTAGTTACTTTCTGTGCAACGCATTAAACAGAGACTCCTCTCAGTCTCCCAAGAGCTCAGGAGGAGCTTGGTGGCATTGTGGCTGACTCGCTGTGTGCCCCTTACTGCAGGGGTGACAAGAGAAACACCAAGTGACAGTCCTCATTTTCCTCCTCTCCATAGATATCGTGGATATCATCACCAGTCCTGCCCGGTGTGAAATTCCAGATGTTCTTATTGTCGTTCTGTCTTACATTTTTCTTTTCTTCCTGACTTAGATAGTTCTAAGGTTCTGGGATAACTTCTCAGGAAACTGTCCAAGAAGCTTCTTTTCTAAAAGTCTCTCAGAACAAGACAGATAACAGCCACTGAGACATCAGAGCAGGTGGCAGCCTTGGAGGATGACTCCTCAGCCTTTGCCATGAACAGCGCCAGGCTGACGCCAACACTGGCCCCAAGCTATGTGGCTGATGAACGAGGCAGAATTTTGTTCCACAGACTCTGCAGGCTGGAGCCTTAAGAATCTGCCCACCCCCCAGGGGCTCCCTCCCACACACTAAAAATTGATTTGTGAAAAGGCATGGAGGAAAAAGGGAGTTCTTAATTTTATTGTAAAATACCATGAAGCGGTTTAGTAGGTAATCTGATTGAATCCCTAAGGTTTTGCAAAACCAGCAGGTTTGCTAGAGGAGATATCCAGCAGAATATTCAGCACATGGTCAGAGAGAGGCTGGGAAGTATTTTGCCATATTGGCTAAGAGAGGGCCTGGCATGTTGGCTAAGCTTGGACTCAGATCCTTTTGCATGCAAGTCCCAGCTTCAGGATCAAACAGCTGTGTGACCTTGGGAACAGTAGTCAAATCTCCATTTCCTCATCTGTAAAATGAAGCTGATAAAAGTACCTAATAAGAGTGATTTGTAAAAATCCAAATAACAAATGCTGGAGAGGGTGTGGAGAAAAGGGAACCCTCTTAGACTGCTGGTGGGAATGTAAACTGGTACAGCTGCTATGGAGAACAGTATAGAAGTTCCTCAAAAAAACTAAAAATAGAGTTGCCGTACGATCCAGCAATCCCACTCCTGGGCATATATCCAGACAAAACTTTAATTCAAAAAGATACATGCACCCCAATGTTCATATTAGCACTATTTACTATAGCCAAGACGTGGAAACAAACTAAATGTCCACTGGCAGACGACTGGATGAAGAACATATAGTACACACGTACAATGGAATATTACGCATAAAAAAGAATGAAATAATGCCATTTGCAGCAACATGAATGGACGTAGAGATTATCATACTAACTGAAGTAAGCCAAAGACAAATATTACATGATATCACTTGTATGTGGAAGCTAAAATGTGACACAAATGAACTTATCTATGAAACAGAAATAGACTCACAGACAGAGAACAGGCCTGTGGTTGCCAAGGGGGAGGGGAGGTGAGGGAGGGAAGGATTGGGAGTTTGGGATTAGCAGATGCAAACTAGTATATACAGGATGGATAAACAACAGGTCCTACTGCATAGCACAGGGAACTATATTCAATATCCTGTACTAAACCATAATGGAAAAGAATATGAAAAAGAATATATAGGGCTTCCCTGGTGGCGCAGTAGTTGGGAGTCCGCCTGCCGAAGCAGGGGTGTCCCCGACACGGGTTCGTGCCCCGGTCTGGGAAGATCCCACATCCCGCGGAGTGGCTGGGCCCGTGAGCCATGGCCGCTGAGCCTGCACGTCCGGAGCCTGTGCTCCACAACGAGAGAGGCCACAACAGAGAGAGGCCCGCGTACCGCAAAAAAAATAATAATAATTATTATTATATATATATATATATATATATATATACACACTTTGCTGAGTCACTTTGTTGTACAGTAGCGATGAACACAACATTGTAAATAAACCATACTTCAATAAAGTAAAATTTTTTTAAAAGAGTGACTTTTAAAAATTCAGTGAGACAAAGCATATACTGTGCTTAATGCATGGCCCTGGCCCGCTGCAGGTATCCAAAAATATTAGCTGTTATCATTTTAATAAGTACATGTGAGTACTAATGATTAAAAATAAAATCATAGGAAAAAGAATCTCTGCCTCTAAGTAGCTAGTGTCCCCAGCCACTCTAGGGTTGGCCAGGAGTGAGGTATTTTTAGCTGTGGGCATGAGATAGAACTGACCCAGTGCAAACGCAAAGTACAAGAGGAGACTCCAGCTTTCTGGACACACACCATGAACTCTTGCTTGATAAAAGGCAAACTTTAGTTGTGCCTGCTTTTTGTGGGGTTTTAAAATACATTTATTTATTTATCTTGGCTGCGTTGGGTCTTCGTTGCTGCGCGTGGGCTTTCTCTAGTTGCGGCCAGCAGGGGCTACTCTTCGTTGCGGTGCACAGGCTTCTCGTTGCGGTGGCTTCTCCTGTTGCAAAGCATGGACTCTAGGCACGCGGGCTTCGGTAGTTGTGGCTCACAGGCTCTAGAGAGCAGGCTCAGCAGTTGTGGCTCACAAGCTCCAGAGCGCAGGCTTCAGTAGTTGTGGCACACGGGCTTAGCTGCTCCGTGGCATGTGGGATCTTCCCAGACCGGGGCTCGAACCCGTGTCCCCTGCATCGGCAGGCAGACTCTCAACCACTGCGCCACCAGGGAAGTCCCAGTTGTGCCTGGTTTTTCGTTATCAGTGTGTCCTGAGAGATTGCAGTGAAACCAAACTTTATACACAATCATGTTTTAAATGCATAAGGGAATTCTCCTTTTTAATAGACTCTTTACAATAAGTCCTTTTATACTATAAGTTATTATAGGTTTTAAAAATGCAAGTGATTGTTCAGTTTCTTTAAAACAGGACATCCTGAAAGATTTTTAAATTGCCATTACATCAACAGCAGTTTTATAGATGTAACAGAGTGGGGGAAATGGTCATCTTAACATCTGGCCCCAGTACTCTAAACACACTGATAAGCCATTTGGGCATGGAAAATGAGACCTTGAAGATTCAACCAAGTAAGAGAAGTGGCCAGACTTCACAGGGTTATAAATTAGCAGGCATTTGGGGTGGGTAGAGAGACTGGATTATTAAGCAGCTTTTTGCAGTAGAAAAAGAGTTTTGAAAACTAGGGTGGCCGTTAATTTTGTGCGTCAACTTGGTTGAGCCATGAGGTTCCCAAATATGTAGTCAAACATTATTCTGGATGTCTCTGTGATGGTGTTTTGGATAGATTAACATTTAAATCAGTGGACTTTAAGGAAGGCAGATTGCCCACCATAATGTGGGTGGGTCTCATTCAATCAGTTGAAGATCTGACTAGAGCAAAAGACTGACATGTCCTCCCCCGACACACCCCAACAAGAGGAAATTCTGCCAGCAGGTGGCCTGTGGACTTGAATTGCTCTTTCTTTGGTCTCCAGTCTGTCAGCCGTCAGACTCAAACTGCAGACTTAGGACTTACCAGTCTCCATAATCACGAGTCAATTCCTTAAAATCAGTCTCTAGATAGACAGATTATAGATTATAGATATATAGATCAATCTCTATCTCTCTCTCCACACACACACATACATCCATGCACACACACATTCTATTGGTTCTGTTTTCCTGGAGAATCCTGACTAATTCAAACAGGATGTCTAATATTAAATGGGAAGTTGTGCTGCCCTGAAGTCTATCTCCACGCCAATCAAACACATTCAGCCTGCAACTCACCCACACGTCTCGTTCGAGTGGA